AAAAGGCAAGTTTCAGGGGCACCTGGGTGGCTCAGTCAGTTAAGCGTCCGACTCTTGGTTTTGGCTCAGGTCATGATCTCGTGGTTCATGGGTTCGAGCCCCACGTTGGGCTCCTTGCTGATGGTGTGGAGCCTGCGTGGGATTCTCTCTCTCTTCCTCTTTCTGTCCCTCCCCCAACCCCTCTCAAAATAAAGAAATAAAACTTAAAAAAAAAAAAAACCAACAAGGCAGGTTTCAGAATACATACATGTGGCATAATAATAATAATTAAAAAAAATTGGTCTTCGTCCTGGCTCCTGTCGCAGGCTCCCAGGACTTGTGGAACCCTCTGAGTGATGAGTGTCCTCTGATGGTAATGAGGTGACTCCTGGCTAAGGGGCCCCGAGATACCTTCCAGTGGCGGCTAGAGGCCAGGAAAACCATGTGCTTACAGGGCTGTGACTTTCAGCCCCACATCCCTACCTCCAGGGAGGGGAGAGAGGCTGGAAAATGAGTTCAGTCATCAGGAGTGAATGATTTAATCAATCATGGCTATGTTAATGAAACCCTGTTAAAAATCCTTCAACGGTGGGGTTCAAGGAGCTTCTGAGTGGGCGAATAAATGTGCCATCTGGGGGCGTGGCACACCTCAACCCCGTGGGGCAGAGGCTCCCACACTTGGGCCCCTTCTGGACTCCACCCTCTCTCGCCTTCTCGTGCTGCTCTTTGCACCCCTTAAACTGTAATAGGAAGTATAACGTCCTTCTGGGGTGTGTGAGTCATTTCAGCAAAGTGCTGAACCCGACAAGGGGCCATGGGAACCTCGGATTTGTGTAGAGTCACGTAGGTAAGGCTCCACCAAGCAAGACTGTGATCCTACGGGTGTGCGCGCGTGCACGCAGAGAGAGGGAAGGGAGGGAGGGAGGGAGAGAAGAGGTTCCAGAGCACCCGATGATACCGACTGCATCCCGGAAGAGGGATGCAACTTCAGAGGTTAGGGCTCACGGAGGGTTCGGACATCGTATCGTCTTAGTATTTACAACAGAGCACGTATCAGTGCGTTACTTGTACGGTCTGGGTGAAAAAAAAGTGAACAGAGACGACGGCCACATAAGGCGCGGCAGACACATCAGTGTCCTCTGTTTGCCCCCCACTCACGTCTCAGAGGACCACGGCGCTGATCGCTTGTTTGCACCAAGTAAGCCCTCTGGCCCGCGGACTGACCTGCCTCACCGAGGACCGGTCCACGGGCTGGGGGTGTCATGCGGGGCCAAGGAGACAGTGGGGGGGATCCGGGCAGAAGGCGGCGCGGGCGTGAGCAGAGCTGGCTCGCCGTGGGGCCGAGGCGCGGGCAGCTGGAGGCCGCGGAGGCAGAGAAGGTGAGGCGGGCAGAGGGGGCCGGCCCGCGGAGCGAGGCCTTGGGGAGACGCCCCCCGGGCCCAGGAGACGCGGCAGGAGCGGTCTCTCTCCTTCCGGCCCCCTCGGCCTTGGCCGCGTGTGCTGCCCGGTCCCTGCCGTAGGCCCCCGAGAGTCTCCCCGTGGATTGGAGCTGCTGGAAGCAGGGGTTCCGTATATACAACCCAAAGAACGCAAGGGACCATACCTATCTGACGTCACAAGCAACCGCTTTAAGCTAATTAAAAGCGAGGACCCAGGGGCACCTGGGGGGCTCAGCCGGTTAAGCGTGAGGCTTCGGCTCAGGTCGTGACCTTATGGTTTATGAGTTCGAGCCCCGCGTCGGGCTCTGTGCTGACCGTGTGGAGGCTGCTTGGGATTCTCTCTCTCTCTCTCTCTCTCTCTCTCCCTCCCCCACTTGTGCTCTCTCTCTCTCTCAAAGTAAATAAACAAACTTTATTAAAAAAAGCGAGGACCCAGTCCCCACTCTGTCCAGGGAGCTTTCCACAGACAACAACCCTGGCTTTCAGGCCTAAGTCCCGACCGCTACGAGCCCTCTGGCCGATACGACGCACGGCCAGCCGGGCCACGTGGTGGCCTTGGGGTTCGGTGCCACGTGACCGGGCCCACCGCAGCTGCTCACCCTGACCCACAGTCATACGACCATCTCTATTCACAAAGCAGAACGTACTTACCTAGTCTATTTTTAAAGACTCAATATCCTAAGCACGCGATTCGACACATTTAGCGAGCATGTGGCAGCCACTGATGTTGTCCACCCGTGTCCCCCCACCCCTCCTGCTTAGAGAATCCTCAGGTTTTTCAGGAATCAGCTGCCTCGTGCTTCAGGGAGGCCAGGCATCTTCTGAGCTGCAGGGAGCAGACCTCGTTTGGTCTGTACCCGTGGTTTAAGAAGCACGTGAAAGGCATTGTGCCACACACAAGCTGGGGCAGGGAGGGGTGGGGAACGTGTGCCGGGGGCAGTTGCCGTGCCTTTCCTGGGTCTTCGACAGGGACGCAAGGAAGGAATACTGTCATCCAGCTTTTGGATGTTAGCAGGTGAAGGTGTGTGTGATGCTGGGGGTTGTGCAGCCACCCTGTGACCTGAGGACTCAACCTGAGAACCAAAGCTAACACCCCCAGCATGGCAGAGGAAAAAGACGCAGAGAACCTGGGTCCTCGATGTCATCTCCTGGGCACTGAATCCACCCCCAGACCTCTCCCACCAATGGGCTCACACACAATACAGTCGAATGCTAAGTCATTGAAAACTGGATTAACTATTAACGCACCCCAAAGCCTCCTGACTAGTGAATGGTATCCACTTAATACAGAGACTAGCTAAGCACAGTGCACTGAGAACCCGGTGCTCAGAGGCTTACGCTTGTTAAGAGTATCAAAGGCATGTGCCTGGAAATTAGTCAAAGGGCAGCTCCAGACAGGGAGACAAGCAGGTCTGGCCGAGAAGCATTTCCGGCCGCTCTTCATGGGCACAGGAGGCCGTGCGGGCACTTGTAGAGCTCGTGACCAGCGGGCCCAGCGCGACAGAAACCCCTCCTCCCGGGACGGGGGTGGGGGGAGCACGCGGCCACACCTCAGCAGGCCTGTCCGTAGGAAGGTGAAAACGAAACAGGAAATGGCTAGCGCAAAGCTTTCGTCCCCCAAACGTACACGAAGGGGCCCCTCCCACCTTCTATGTGTGGAAATGACAGCCTTGACCTAGCATCAATCCGCCCCGTCACCGATACCCCGTGCGCCTCGGCGGCTTCACGCACACACACTCAAGTAAAACTTGCGAGAGCTGCCCGCTTGCTGAGCGCCCTGAGCCACGGGGCCTGCTCGCCCGACACCACGAACCCCTTTCCCCACCAGCGGAGCGGGGTGAGCGCCGGCCACGGTGGAGTGCGAGCCCAGGGGCAGGGGATGAAAAGACGTTTCCCGCACGGTCCCTGCCCGTATGAGGCACCGAGTGTGGCCGTGAGAGCCAGCCGCCTGCACGGACAGCTGCAGGGGTGCAAGCAGGACTGCGGAGGAGGCGAGGGGACCCTGCCAGAGGGACCGAAGCGCCCCCCAGGCTGGGCTGCTGCTGTGCGCCAGGCCCCGTACCTGTCACCTCCGTCTATTGTCCTAGCAACCCAGAGGGGGGTGAGATCATCCCGGGTCTGCAGACAAGTCGTCTGGACTGAATGGTATCCCCCACAATTAGGAATCGTGACTCTGCCCACGCGTTCCCACCCGAGGGCCAGAGACCAAGGTGAGCGGTGACTCCCCCTCCCCCTCCCCCTCCCAACTCCGCGGCATCTCGTAGTGGCTGAAATAAACTTCGGGATTGGAAAACAGGCAGACCTGACCTAGTAGGAGGTTGGATGCACGTGCCACACGACCCAGGCTTCCCTCCTTGGGTCGACCCCTAGAGAAACCAGCCGGTAGGTCAGCAGGCTTGTGCAGGGCTGGTCTGCGTCGTGCATCCAGACCCCAGAAAGCACACCGACGTCCCCATGCAGGACAGGGGCTGTTGCCACACGTGACAGTGGTGGGAGCGGAAGGACAAGGCCACGCCCATCAACGTGGACAAACCTCGGGTCGGGACACGGAGCAAAGGGGCAGGTTACAGAGCACGCCCGAAGCAACCCTGTCCACATACATCTCTAAACCATCCACAATTAGACCACGCGGTCAAGGAGATCCAGCGAAAGCACACCGAGGAGCCAGGAGCTGGTCAAAACCAGAGTGGCAGCTCCCCTGGTGAGGGCAGCACAGCGGCTGGGATGTCCAGGGACGCCCAGGAGACGCTGGTGATGCTGGGGAATGGGGTGCGGCTTAGCTGGGGACCCGTGTCTATTTCATCGTCACACACACACACACACACGCACACACACACAGTACTTCTTGGGCAAAACACATGGACAGTGTCGCTAGCCTCTAAGAAAAAACCATCGTGGACACAATTTCAGATGTATTTCCTTCCCACACATCTCTCTATAACTCAGCCTGACTCAGCCTGGTTTTCTGGAATGAACCCAGCAGCTGGTGTCCAGCCTGGGCAGTTTCCTTGAAAACAGCCTGCCCAGAAACGCACCCTCGGACGCGAGGCCCCGACAGCCCATCGTGCCGGATGGTCCCCTGCCCCCGTCAGTCACGGCCAGCACTGGTGCCAGCCCTGCCCCCACTCCTCAGTCAAACCCTAGATCGCATCAGTCTTTTTACAAACAGCGGGAAAAGCAAGGTCAAGGTTCCTGGGCCGGGTGTTACAGGAAGGGCCCCTCCGCTCACTTTTTCACAAGACAGAGGGATGCCCTGCCCGTGGACAAAGTCTGTGGCAGCTGCTGGTCTCGCCTCCCCTCCCCTCATTCACCTGAAACGCTTATCAGGAGGCCCCCTGTTGCTGTTAGAGTGAAGTTCAAAATCTCGATCTTGGCCCCCAGGCCCTGCACGGTTTGCCTCCCGCTGGCTCCCAGCGGCTTCTCTCAATCGCGTCTCAGGCTGGCCAGTCCTTCCCCGGTTCTTCACCAAACCAGTTCACTGCACCTCCCTCTGCCAGGAACCTCCCCCCACCGCATCCCTGTCAAGTCTCAGCTAAGCCTCTCTTTGTATTTTATACACCGGACGCAACATAAGCAAAGTACCTGGCATGTGGTCGGTGCTCAGTGGACGGTGGCCGCCGTCCCGTTACGGAGGTCCAACTTCCACTCTTCCGGGCTGGCGCCCGTCCTTCCCCGAGCTAGTCTTCCTCTGGGTCTAGAGCTGTGATGGCTGGAATCTATACAAGGAAAGATAATCTGACTTAGCACAGGGGCGGAGGTTGGACAGAGAGAACCACTCAAGGATCAGAGAGATGCCCCACTTTGGAAGAAAAGGTGAGGAACCCCCCGGTGACATGTCTGCAGGTGACAGTGACGCAGGGGACCGCGGCCAGGAAGCGTTTCTGTTCTGGGCCACGGCCAGCCTGGAAGGCCAGTGGCCACGCGTCCCGAGACATCTGGGGGTGGGGAGAAGGGTGGGCAGCGGCCTCGGGGTTAGTCCTGGCCAGGGAGGAAGGTCCTCAGAAAGTCTTTGATAGGAGTATTTGCAGAGTGGAGAGATGCTCTAATTGGCCACTGATTCATCAGGTCAAGAGCAGCAAACCACATTCCGAGCCCACGAGAGCTCCCTTTGCCGTGAGTTATGTCTTCAGCCCCCGCACACTGTGGGTCTGGGTGGGAGCACGGCACGCTCTCTGATTTCCCCAAGGTGGTGCTCCTTACAGGGACTGACCAGGCCGTCACACATGCCTGGCTCAGTCACTCCAGAAGCCCCGGGGAGGAAGGCCCCCTGAGAAGGTGAGGTGGTGGGGGGGGAGCTGACGCCCGGCCCCACAGCTGCCGGGATCCTTGTGGTCGGGGCTTCAGGCACCTGCTCCTTCACTGACCGCTCTTAGTCAGCGGTGACAGGGACCCTGGGACATCACTGTTTAATCAGGAACACGCTTGGTTTTGGCTTTGAGAATTAATCACAGGTGACACCAGATCTCCCGGGGCTGATAGAAGCTGTTCTTGTCGGGTGTCAGCTTGGATCGGAGTGAGCTGTCACGGGCCCCGGGCCCCGGGGAGGTGGCAGTGACTTGCTTCTCCGGAGGACCCCACCCCCTTCGTCTGCTCGTGGCCTCCCTACTCCGCGGCTGGGCCGGGAGACGGACGCGCCACCGGGCGAAGGCTGGGGGCGGCTGGTGACCTTCGGGGCCCAGCGCCCCGGCGGAGGGCAGCAGGCGGCCCGCAGGCCCACGAGCAGAGGCGGATGGGAATTCTACTTCTCCGCATCAGCATTTAAATGAAATTTTTTTTTTCAACGTTTTTTATTTTTTTTTATTTTTTGGGACAGAGAGAGACAGAGCATGAACGGGGGAGGGGCAGAGAGAGAGGGAGACACAGAATCGGAAACAGGCTCCAGGCTCCGAGCCATCAGCCCAGAGCCCGACGCGGGGCTCGAACTCACGGACCGCGAGATCGTGACCTGGCTGAAGTCGGACGCTTAACCGACTGCGCCACCCAGGCGCCCCTGTAAGAAGGTTTTTAATGGCAAGAAAGGGAGAACAGATTCGCCCGGGGTTGTAAAAGCACCCAACGTGTCAACACAGGTTGGAAAAAATGAGACACGAGCCAACCAGCACTGAGGCTGAACTTTCTATTTCTGCTGTTAGAATTCTGATTACACCCTCAAGAACTTGGGTCGTGAGGTCGGGAAAACTGATAGGATACGTCTCTTGAGAGACTACCGTATGGGTGTAACATTCCACTGGCAGAAACATCATCCCTGATGCTTACAGACGACTAACCGTGTGCCAGGCACTTGCTAAGCGCAACCGATAAACCTCAAAAACTCTCTGAGATGGGTGGCACTTTATCATTGCTCCTACCCTCACCATTTTATAGCCAAGAAAACCAAACGTAGGAGGGGTTCAGAGTCAGGACTTGGACCCGAGTTTCTCGGACGGACTCTTTTTTTTTTTTTTTTTAATTTTTTTTTTTCAACGTTTATTTATTTTTTGGGACAGAGAGAGACAGAGCATGAACGGGGGAGGGGCAGAGAGAGGGAGACACAGAATCGGAAACAGGCTCCAGGCTCTGAGCCATCAGCCCAGAGCCTGACGCGGGGCTCGAACTCACGGAGCGCAAGATCGTGACCTGGCTGAAGTTGGACGCTTAACCGACTGCGCCACCCAGGCGCCCCTCGGACGGACTCTTATTGCCAAACGGTGCCTACAATTGCTTCTTACAAAATAAAACTTTACTTGGAGAAGGACTGTAACCGGAAGCATAAGTACACAAGCTCCCTGAAATACCACTGTCACATGGAAACTTCAGACAGAACGGAAACCGAGTTCTAAGATGGCAGCTATGGGCTCAGGGTGAAGAAGAGCTATACTGCGTCTCAAAAAAGGAATCAACTCATTGGTGCGTTATTAGCGTCTTATTCAAACACAGTCAGAGCCCATTTGCCTACAGCGAAGCTGTTTAATCGACAAGCCACACCACTGTGTCGCCTCCTACGTAAGAATAAACAGAGAGCCAAGCCAAGGGTCGCTTGGTGTTGGAGGTAAGTCTTCATGCGAAAGGAAGAGATCGAGAGACGAGTGGATACAAAGAACCTGCGGGAAGCGGACAATGCGCAGAATAAGAGAAAACTTAAGGGAAAAAAAGCCACCCACATCCTGATAATCAAAATCCGTTGAGATGAAAAAAGATACTGAATCCACAAAACGAGAGTAGGATGCTATGAAAAAGGAACGAAGAACAAGGAAGACTTCGTAGCAACGAAAGTGCCAGACACTTACCAATAGAAAGTTTGAAAGATAACGTTGAGGAAATCTTCGAAAAAGTCAATACAGAGAAGACAGACAAGATAGGGCATGGAAAAGGAGGTTAATTTAGGCTTAACAGCCAGTAACTAGAAATCCTGCAAAGAGAGTGCGGAGGTTATGTTTCCTTTCTTATCTCGTCTGTGGGGATATGATGTAAAGGGGTGAAGTTATCAGAGGAGTAATATTGGGGGATTCTCCAGACGTGAGCACAGGAGTCTTCAGATTTCAATGGCCCTTTGGGTCCTCAGGACAATCAGAGAAGAAAGAACCTGCTCAGAACACTGTTGTGAAATTTCAGGCCACAAGGAAAGAAGACCCTCAAAGTTTTCAGAAACATCAGGTCACGTACAAAGGACTAGAAGTAAGTTTGGCATTTTCGATTGCGATACTGGGGGCTGGGAGTCGATGAGGCAATGGCTTCACATTTGTGATGGAAAATACTCTTTGGCCTAGAATTCCACTACCCCCGTCCCCAGACTGTTAGGCGTGAAAATAAAACGATACTATTTTCAGAAAGGCAAAGACTCTGAACATTTATCTCCCATGCACCCTTTCCCAAGACGCTCCTAGTGGGTATGCTCTGGTAAAATGAGGGAATAAAACAATAAACAGGAGTGTAGGCAACGCAAGAAACAGAAAATCTAATTGGACAAGGCAGCAAGGAAACTTCTAGGATGAGAGAGACGGGGCAAGAGGTAGCCGGCCAAGATTATGGCAGGATCACAGAGAGGCCACTAGAGGGAGGCGACCAGGGCAGAAATGGAATGGTCATGATATATTTCATAATTTAGGAAATGACTTTGGTAGGCAAATAACAGGACTGTGAGATGGACAAATAATGAAGGCTAGGCACATAAAAAAAAAAAAAACACCTCAACAAATGAAAAAAAAAAGGCAATATTAACTCCAGGAGAGAAGCAAACAGATAAGAAACACAGCATACAACATGCCTCAACATAAACAGTATTATGAAGTGACAATAACGTAACACATAAAACTGTGATCTAAATGCACTGACAGAATGGAAGAAAGCGACATGCACGGAGTACGGTACTCAGAAAAGAGGGCTAAATGCTCATCTACCTAAGAGTATGTCTCATATAATAAATAATGCCTTCGAGTGGCTATGTGGGTAAACAGCGATGCAAACCGATCGCTTAGAAATAGGGAGGCACATAGCGGAAGAAAACACAACAATGGAGAAGACGTAGGAGTAGCTGCTTCCGGGGATTAGGACCTGGAGACGGTGATGACTAGGCTGGGGAGTGATGTTTTTATTACAAGCCTACCTTACATTTCAACTCTGCGTGACGTGTATGATCTTGGCAAAAAAAAATAAATAAATAAATAAACAAATAAAAAATAACATATCAATAATTGGAAATATGGGCGATACATTCAAGTATCAAGAATCAAACGGTTACGGGGCACCTGGGTGGCTCAGTCGGTTGGGCATCTGACTTCAGCTCAGGTCATGATCTCACAGTTTGTGGGTTCGAGCCCCCCGTCAGGCTCTGTATTGACAGCTCGGAGCCTGGAGCCTGCTTTGGGTTCTGTGTCTCCCTCTCTCTGCCCCTCCCCTGCTCGTGCTCTGTCTCTGTCTCTCCCAAAAATAAACATTAAAAAAAAAAAAAGAATCCAGCAGTTACCTCCATTGTCTGAACACTTAAGACACTCGATCTCTTTCCCAGACAGCTCACCTCTTCGTAAACCGGAAGTGCCGACAGTCGCTGGGAGCCTGACAGATGTCATGTCGCTTCCCAGGAGCTCCGTAGGCAGGTTTTCACATCCCCACTTTACGAGGAGGGGGCAGGACCAGAGCGTTACGTAAAGGGGTGAGATCCCACAGGCACGGAGCGGCAGAGCCGAGTTTCCAACTCAGCCCCCCGGACTCCAAGTCCCCCGATCCTAGTTAAACCTGCAGTCATCACAACCAACATTTACTAAGCATCGAAGCTGACCGATTAGGTTCCTTGCTTCCTGGGCTCCGTATCTTTCTTTCCTGCCTTACGCCCTCGTTTTGAAGGCACATACCCCTAGCCTGTTTTACAGAAGAGGTTCAGGGAGGTTCTGCTCCCTGCCACGGGTCTGCCTCGTCTCCCACGGGACTCAGCATGGGCTCTCACTCTTAAGAGCAGCTACGGCTGCTCCAGAATGTATCTGTTGGGTGAATGAATAAAAACCAGAGCCCGAATAAAATAAGCAAGGAGGCGGTTACTATACCAAACCCAGGGAGTGCCCAGCCCTTCGGAAAAGAGCTGTCTTTGTGGCACAGGCTCCTCCTCTCTCTCCAAGAGCTGCCCTGGGGCAAAAGCTCTGGAACCAGAAGGGGGTCAGCAGGCAGGCGGATAAATGCATCTCTGGTTAGTGGATTCGCCTGGATGGCCAGAGTGAGAGGCTTGAGACGGAAGGTTTAATTATTC